ATATAAGTTTGTGATGTTTTATTAAGTTTAGAAAATATTTTTCCAGCTGGCCTGGAACTATGTAGACCAGGCTGGCCTCGATCTCACAGAGATCCACCTGTCTCTATCTCCCATGTACTGGGATTAAAGGTATACACCACCAAGCCCAGCTTCTTTCTTTCTTTTCTTAACATTGTCTAAAATCATACAAAAAATTTTCCACAAAAATTTTACTGACTTATAATTTCAGACAAATCATATCTTTAAATGTTTCAACTTACTCTTTTTTGGGAAATGATCTAAAAAATACCAAAATGCTGAATAAAAGTGACTCTTGTAATGAAATGAAACCATTACATGTTGGATATTCTCATTTAAAGATAGTTCTTATTATAAAAGCATTTATCAAATACCTGTTTGAGTATCCAGCCTTTCTTAAGAACTTAGGAAATAAAAACACAAATAAAACGGCTGTCAAAAGTCTGAGAGAGGTCTGCTCTTCAGTTACACTTGGCTTCCTCACTGACCCACCTGATACCCTGTTAGGCACTAGAGCCTAGTTAAGAAGATTGCAAGCTAAGGCATGCTAACAAATATTGATAAGTGATGGGCTGTGCTTCAGAGCACAACTGTACTAACCCATTTAATTCCATGTTAGCTTCAACAACTTATTGTAACAGTATCTCACCCTACATGGAGAGGAAAATGTAGCTTAAGCTTTACCACAGTCTATACCCAAAGCCTGTTATAAGTCATGATGAATCAAATTCTACAGATCTAAAATTAAATGCTTTTCTCTTAGTAAAAGTATTCTGAAGAGATAATACTAATCACTACAAAACACTGACTTATTATTCACTGCAAATATGAAATTAGCTAGGGCTAGTGATGTAGCTCAGTGGTAGAGTGCTTGCCTACAAAAATAAAACTAGGTTTAACTCAACATAATGCCTAAGATAGAAATGAAATAATTTATTTATACACTGTATGCATGAGTCCCTGACATAAAAATATACAATAAATGGTAGCTTACATTAAGAGTTCATAGAACCATGTTTGGTAGCACACACCTTTCTCTCCCAGCACTGGGAGGAAAAGGGGGGATGATGAGTTGAGCCTTGCCAGGGCTACACAATAAGATTCTGCAACAAAGATTACAGGGATTACCAAACTAACTTGACAATGATACATGGTCAGAATCTCTGGAAATGTAATCTTTTAATCAGCAAAATGAAGCTCTGTGAGGGTAAGGACCTTGTCAGGTGTGTTTGCTGTAACATCTTCACAGCCAAGGTGGACATAACACAAAGTTTCTTTAAATGAATCAAAGTTCTGTAGATGAAACGAAACAACAGCTGCTTAGGAGAGAAAGGAGGTAGCTTTCTAATATGGTAGTCACTGGTCACAGTTTTGATTATTTTTTTTTAGTTAAGTATAATATGATAAAAGGTATACAGATGATCGCCTTTAAAAAAAATGTAGCTGTGGCCACTGCCACCACCACAACTGAGCCAGAGCCTCGAGGAGACTGGCCACCCACCTTCCCACTCTGGCCGCTACGTCCTTGGATTTGTTCCAACAATCTGTTAAAACATAGTAGATTACTATGAAGTTCTGGACGTGCAGAGACATGCCTCACCCGGATATCAAAAAGGCATACCGGAAGCAGGCACTCAAGTGGCACCCAGATAAAAATCCTGAGAATAAAGAAGCAACAGAGAGAAAGTTCAAACAAGTAGCCAAGGCCTACAAGGTGTTATCAGATGCTAAGAAGCGGGACATCTATGACAAGTATGGCAAAGAAGGATTAGATGGAGAAGGAGGTGGAAGCCACTTTGACAGTCCGTTTGACTTTGGCTTTACATTTGAAACCCAGATAATGTCTTCAGGGAATTTTTTTTGGTGGCAACGGCCCATTTTCATTCGACTTCTTGAAGACCCCTTTGATGATTTTTTTGGTAACTGAAAAGGTTCCCGAGGAAGCAGAAACCGAGGCACCAGCTCCTTTTTCTCCACCTTCAGTGGATTTGTGTCACTTGGAGGTGGATTTTCTTCATTCGATACAGGATTCACTTCATTCAGATCACTGGGTCATGGGGGTCTCACTTCCTTCTCTTCAACATTGTTTGGTGGCAGTGGGATGGGCAACTTCAAGTCAATATCAACTTCTAATATAGTTAATGGCAGAAAAATCACTACAAAAAGAATTGTGGAGAATGGTCAAGAGAGTAGAAGTTTAGGAAGCTGGCCAGTTAAAGTCCTTGACGATAAATGGTAAAGAGCAGCCGCCACGCTTGGATAACAAGTAATTCAGGCACACATTTAACAGAATGTTAATAACAAATACCATTTGAGGATTAACAGGAACATTTTTTTGTAGATTTCAAATGAACTCAACTTTCAGTATAATTGTACCTAAAGTGTTTATAAGCAGCTCACTGGAGCCCGTTTGTCATAGACTTTTGAGTTTGTTGTTGGGACCACACAATAGGACCATTTTTTTTTTTGTCTTTAAAATTGTTGTAATCTCTGTATGCACTTTACTTTTTTAAAATGTAATCCAAGGTGAGCCTGTGACTCTGAGTAGTTCTAGAAGACTGTTCTCTAACACCAGCACGGATCAGCTTCAGTTGTGTTGATGTGAGCCCTAGTGTCAGCCGCTGTGAAGATAACCTTGCCAGGAGGAATCTTCTACTGAGGTATTTCAGTTCTTTCAGTGTTTAGTGATGACAGATATTACTACATCAATGGTAATACATTACTGGTTAGTATAAATTAAGGTTGTTTTCTAGTTGTGCATGAATGCTGGTGACTTTACCAGTTCTGACAACTGTTTAAATATGTAATGTTAAGCTTAGGTTTAAAACTGGCAAATTGGATCTTTGTCCTTTGCTGAATGAAGGAAAGAAAGAAAGAAAGAAAGAAAGAAAGAAAGAAAGAAAGAAAGAAAGAAAGAAAGAAAGAAAGAAAGAAAGAAAGAAAGAAAGAAAGAAAGAAAGAAAGAAAGAAAGAAAGAAAGAAAGAAAGAAAGAAAGAAAGAAAGAAAGAAAGAAAGAAAGAAAGAAAGAAAGAAAGAAAGAAAGAAAGAAAGAAAGAAAGAAAGAAAGAAAGAAAGAAAGAAAGAAAGAAAGAAAGAAAGAAAGAAAGAAAGAAAGAAAGAAAGAAAGAAAGAAAGAAAGAAAGAAAGAAAGAAAGAAAGAAAGAAAGAAAGAAAGAAAGAAAGAAAGAAAGAAAGAAAGAAAGAAAGAAAGAAAGAAAGAAAGAAAGAAAGAAAGAAAGAAAGAAAGAAAGAAAGAAAGAAAGAAAGAAAGAAAGAAAGAAAGAAAGAAAGAAAGAAAGAAAGAAAGA